TTCTCAACCATTTCAGAACGTTCTCTACTGGTTCACTGGATATCAGGGTATAAAAATTATTAAAACGTATAATATGATATAGACTGAAAACGTCTGCAAGACGTCTAAAAGCAATTCAAAAATACTTTGAGCAATACGTTTCCTTGTAAACTTTTGATAAGTTTCCAGAAATCAATTGGTTATTCTTTCTTAATTGAATGATCTTCTTATTTGTCAGTAGTCAACATATTGTTTATCGAAGTTTCTAGAATCTCATAATAGAACTAATTCCAGTGAATATCTTTATTTAATGTAGATAGTTTAACTTTTGTAACACAAATCCTTCTACCGACTAAAAAGTTACTATCTATACTTATCATTATACAGGGTATAACATTATGACATCTACAATAATAAATGTTAGATCTGATATTTGTTTTCATAGGTTGAAATCATGAGTCAATTGAAGCTAGACCACCATGGAAAACCTGGAAGCACTGGAAAGCCGTTTCGTCCTAGTATTATCAGCATGGCATATCTGATGTTTGGCGACAATGTTTTTTATTCGGAAGGATTGAGTCCATAGTAACTACTTCTGCAGTTACATACGTAACTATTCAGTTATTTATATCGTAATCAATCTCATGTTAGTCTACGATATCTACATTAATCAGGTGGTCATTAGTACGAAATGTCTTGTAATTTTTGAGATGATTATACCTATATAGCCTTCCGTTCGGAATTCATTGAATTGCAAAATCTTACAAAAATATACGGAATTAAACTTATTTAGACCATAAACGTTTAGACTTAAAAGTCTGTAAAAGAATGATTGTAAGAGAATTTTAATCCTAATGTAAATGTTTAATCTAAGAAAGCACTTGGAGAACATGTGGTCATATAAACCACAACCACAGAAATTCTTTGACATGTATGCTGAAACGAATGGTTACATTTTAATACAGCACAATTGAAACCATTTTTCTCACACTTATACTTTAAAGGGAATGAAACTATTAGTATTATTGATAACAGATTTATTACTGTATTGAAAGTACTTATTCAGAGGTGGGGTTTATCACTTTGTGTGAAACGAAATGTTTCCTTAAACAATCAAAGATCTAAAACACCTCTATGCTCAGTATCTTGAATTATATGTGTCAATTTATATGTACGTGCTAACGCACATACACGTTTGTATTTCCTTGTACATTTCAAAGAAACTGAAAATAAATGATGTCCCAATCCCAAAACAGTACATCAAATCGACACGTATATAGCCTCTGCCAGAGAAGTCCTACTCACTGACTTCTCACACCACGGGTGTTGTTTACGAAAGTGAGAGGACGAAAAGCGAAGGTCCGGCGCATTAACCGGGTTGATGAACATGTAGAGTTCACCTAGGGACTTGGAAAACCCTGATTATAAACCAATGGTGTACATGGGCACCATTATCCTAAAGGAACAAAAAGTGTATGCATCAATTATCTGTCACCGGCTGCAATGGGACTGCATCACCTTACGTTGCTCCATTGCCTTGTGTATCAGACCTTCAGGTCGAAGGCTCCGGATATGGCCCCCTAAGAAAATCACCTGCTTCGGTTTGGGTACCCGGGCAGTATCACATCCCTCACACATATCAAATGAGATTTGTGTGGCGCATATGTATTTGGTGCCTCCTTGTACCAATATCTATGTGTTAAAATAAAATAAAACCAATCTTTGCTAAATTAATTGTTATTTCACTTACCCTATTCTGAACCTTATGGAAACTGTGCAACTTTTCTATTTACGCTATGCATTCGGTTGTGTCTTGATGGCCCGCTAGTTATCACGTAATCTATTCGCCAATCAAAACACGACTTATTCGCTATTATACTATACTAAACCAATAACTTCCAACCGGTCTGATCAGCTTGGCGTCCTATTGGTCCGTTGCTCGCCTAGCCCGTCCAGCTGAGTCTGGAATGCCAACAACAGCCTCCACTAATTCAAATCATTTATTTCAGACATACTAACCAAACAGACCGCAACGCACCATAAAATAGGAAATAACATTTATACACAATAAAGCCAAAAAGTGACTGTGTACGTGGGAGACACTAATTAATAAACAGAGTATAATTTAAAAACAGTAAATCGTACAATAATAATCTATATGTCAAAATGAAGCTTATAATAAGGAAAATATAGATATATACAATCTAGTTACTGAATAGTTATACAATAAGAATATATAGATAATATTAGTCCATTAATAGATCTCAGAAGTTACTGGTACTTTAAGCTTCACCAGTATATAACACATTCCATCTTATCAATTTTTGAATTCTCATCCCTGTAATGAGTTGTAGACCTGTCTTCAAATTATATTAATAATGCTTACGATTTCATTCATTTTAATCAAAATCAGTGGTTAATGAATATAATGTTTTGGGTTGCAATCAGCTAGAGAGGATCCATTTATTTTGTGGATGATGTTTAAAATGCATCTTTTAGTGATCTTATTTTTTTAGTTTGTGCTTTGCATATATCCATATTGTTTGTTTTTTGATTATCGCATATGATTTTCTGTTTGTTGTTGATGTTTTAATAAAGTTTTTATGGATGGCCAATCTTTTGTAAAAATTGTCATTAGGCATCGCTTATTTAGATTGGTATCATAAATCGATCAATGTCAGACCACCATTGAAAACCCGGAGGCATTGGCTGGTCATTTCGTCCTAGTATGGAACTCTTCAGAAGTATCCATCTACTGTCTCAAATACAACATTGAAACTCAGAACTTACCGGTCCCGCGCTCGAACGCTTGACCTTTAAACTACTGTGCCCGTATCCAAAATTGTTAATTTCCAACTTTAAACGATCCACGATATTACATCTTTTATTGTTTTTCCGTATGACAGAGGTAATGCATTGTACTGTTGAATTTATGAATAAAATGTTTATGGAATGTAATCTCTATGACTTGACCATAAGGGTAGAATTGTCTCTAGTTTCTCATGTTGATTCAAATAATTTATAACTCGACAGTAGAATACTGAGCGAATCTAACCAATGAATATCACATAAAAAGAAACATTTGTCATGGATCTCATTACTAAACATCATCCTTTAAGTAAAACATCATTCATTTATAGGAAAAAAATATCTTCAAATCTTCTTAAATATTTCCTATTCAATCACTTATTCTATGCACACAGTTGAAGAATTCTATACTAGGACGAAATAACTGTCTAATGGTGGAGATTTGTAGCTCAGGTGGATGATTTTGATGGAGTTTTATTCTCTGAGCTGGATGGTTTGGTTGTGGAGCTTCCATCGTTCTTCTGAACGGCATCATCAGCACAAACTTCAGATAGAAGTGAAGTGTTCAAATTTCTTCATATGCGTTTCACAGCTTGTTCTGCGCACCTCGATGTTGATTGGTTCCTATTGACCTTAAATTTGTCATAGTTTACTTCTTTGTTTTGGTTGATATCAAAAAATACCAACCGCACCCAGCATCAGAACCTAAGTCAAGCACAAAAATTAACAAAAGAATTGCCCTACCATACATAAAAGTAATATCAGAAACGGCAACGAGACTGCTGAAAACCTTCGGGAAAGGTGTGGCACACAAACCGATAAAATCACTACAATCAATCGTATGCAAAGCAAAGGATGAAACAACAAAGGAAAACAAATCAAACTTCATCTACAAAATAAATTGTACCAACTGCGACAAACACTACATCGGACAAAGTGGATGCCCCTTCCACCTACGCATACATGAACATCAATTAGCAGTCAAACGGTATGATATCTCCTCACTTATATCAATACACATGGACAACTGCGGACACTCATTCGATTGGAAAAATGTTGAAATTTTAGACAGAGGAAATTCCAAAAACACTAGAGAATTTTTAGAAACCTGGCACTCAGGTCAATCAGCAATCAACAAGCATACTGAAATCAATCCAATTTACCAACCAATCAGAAAAATTATGCACAAATACAGGAACAAAAATCAAACTAATGGGAGAGACAACCAAAACAAAGAAGTAAACAATGATAAATTTAAGGTCAATAAGAACCAATCAACATCGAGGTGCACAGAACAAGCTGTGAAACACATGTGGAGAAATTCGAACACTTCACTTCTATCTGAAGTTTGTGCTGATGATGTCATTCAGAAGAACGATGAAAGCTCGAAAACCAAACCATCCAGCTCAGAGAACAAAACTCCATCATAACCGTCTAATGCTTCCAACTCTTCCATGATGATCCAGTTTCAATGAACTCATAAATTCAACTATTAAATTAATATTTTCACTAACTTTTCACTTTTACAACAACGTTTCTTTTTGTTTACCTTTCTTGAAAGTGTTTTTCTCTTCTCCTTTCATATTCATTTCATTGTCTATTTCATTCTTAATCATTATTTCAATCTATTTTTATACTCATGTCACAAAATTCTCTAAATTATTCGTCTAATAAAGTTGAGCATTTGATTTAGCATTTCATTGCCAAGTTTTTCTCCTCTTTTTTTCTTTTTTTTTCCAACGAAAAAAGGTGTTTTACAAAGGAAACTTTTGAAACTTTTGAAGATTGAATTCCTTGTATAAAAAACTATTTTTTTTGTTGAAAAGAAAAGTTTCATTGTTTTTTTTACCTGTTACGTTAACTTTTCTAAAAAAGAATAAAAAAATCCCAAAATATTTGTTACATGTCTTAGTTACAAATTATTACGCAAAATATGATTGGTTTATTCTATTTGAGATTTGATTGGTTCATCTATTGATGGGAAATATTTGTATATATGTATATATTACTATTTCATATAGAACGAGACGTTGTGAGTAGTATAACATTGATGAATAATATAATAGTGTAAATTTAACTCTAAGAAATCATTGTATATAAATAGTATATGTGTTTTGATACTATTCTGAATAGTCATATTCACATATATACTTGAATGGAAATCGTCCGAATATTTTTGATCAAAATATTTACAATCTACATATTGATTCTTAATGAATGCATCACATGTAAATAATAATAATAATAATCATCATCACATTAGTAACACTAATTATACTACTAGTTATAGTAATAACATCAGTAATATTGGAAGTAATAAGCAAATTTTTATAGATTTTCCAACAAATCCAATTACTAAATATTTTAGTATTGAGAAACAAACAGCAAGTTGTGGACCAGAATTAGTTTGGAAAGTATATGATGCTGTACGCCGTCAAGATCAAAAGGTAAGTAGTATCATAATAATGAATTTCGTTTATATACTTGTAATTTTTTAAAGAAGAATAGTTTTTTTTCTAACAGTTGAATTCCGGATGAGTGGCGTATAATCTATGTTGTGCAAGATCATGGATCGATTGAATTTAGTCATTAACACTATTAAGTGTTGTCTCAGTGGTATAGAGATTCAATGTCCTCGTGAGAGACTGAAGATCCCGGGTTCGAAGTTCTATCTGCGGGATTGTAACATGCATTTCTGGGTCACATACTAAAACGAAACGGCCATTCAGTTGTTCTTGATTTTCAATAGTGGTCTAGCTTAATTAAACTAATAAATTCAATTATTAAGATGATTACAATCTTCACATATCTCCATCCTCAAAATATTTTTCTATAATTTATGAAGTAATACTGAGTTTATACATGTAAACCATGTAAACTCAATAATTCAAAGGGTGAAACACTTGTTGAGTAACTAAAAGTTCTACAAGTTCAATTCTTGGTGATAAAGTAGTAGTGCATTACCATAATGAAAATATCATTTCCAATTATAATTAAAGAAGAAGAAAATTAATTTATTTCTATACATTTAAAAAAGAGATCATGAACCGATTAATGTTAGATCACTATTGAAAACCCGGAAGCACTGGGCGGCCGTTTCATCCTATTGTGGGACTTCCCAGCAGTGCGCATCCACGGCTCAGTGGTCCAATAGGTTAAGCGTTCGCGCGTGAGACTAAAGGCTCTGGGTTCGAATCCCGCCAGCGGGATTGTGGACGCGCACTGCTGAGGAGTTCCACGATAGGATGAAACGGCCGTCCAATGCTTCCAGATTTACAACGGTGGTCTAACATCAATCGGTTCATGATCTCAATCAAAAAAACTTAATCTCCACAACCCCTAAACTGATAATTTAAAATAGAGTTTGTTTGACCAGTTTCTAGAATAAGGATTAAATTTGTTGCTAAATGTTCCGCCCCCCCACCATCAAAAAAGAAAAGTAAATAAAAAAGCAAAAAAACATTTGATTTATCTGACATTTACGTGAAATCGAATTTTGTCTTATTTGTTTACCTCTTCATTTGTATACGTTAGTTTCTCTTTGTGATTTTCACTAAAATCAAGACATTTCTGTTTTTGTTGATACATACGAATCTTTTTTTGAAATGTGAAAAAACTATTATTTACTATAATTTTTTTAGTTGTCATAATCGATACTACTAATATCACTACTAATTTTAAATAAACAACTGAACAAACATGTTGAGTAGATTTTGATAATAATGCCTCAATTATGTATAATTATCTAAAAGGTAAATATTATTATTATTATTATAATGGACAAAGAATTATATAATTTAATAGTTGAGTTCATGAGTCAATTGAAGTTAGACCACCAAGAAAATCTAGAAGCATTCAACGGTAGTGCTCATCCACGATCTCGCCCCGCGGGGTTCGAACCCAAGGGTCTACCAGTCTCTCGCTCAATCGCTTAAGTTCTAGACCATTGAGATGATCGGCATCCAGCGATGTTAATATCTAACTTCAACCCATCCACGAAATTGGATTATATATATTCATTTACATAAGTTAATATGAGTAATACAGCTAGATGATTAATGATTATTACCTATTCAATCTGAATTTATCAATTATAGCATTTTAATTGTTGAACAATTCCTATCTCAATACACCAATATATGAACGAGAAAATATTCTTTCCAATAAATCCTTATTATCATTTAAAAGTATCAATTCAATTGAATGTTCTAAATAGAATATTCAAGTTAATTGACTTCATGTTTCGTAAGAGAATGAATAACACAAAGATAGAGGTTATTATGACTGATGCTTATGTCATCAAAACATTTAATTATACACAGATTTAAAGCAATTAGTTCCTTTGATCAATTTTGATAATGTCATAAGAAGACGAAGATTATCAGAACTATGTGATGATATATTAGCACAATACAAAGTCTAACAAGCTGATCACACATGTATGTGTATTCAAAGCTTCAATTGATTCATGATCACAACTATTAAAATTAATATAATATTCACAAACATTTTCTGATACTGATCAACATGTGCTCACTAGTGACTGGTTTCAAGAGGTATTTCCTGGAGTTCTAATGAGAAGCAGTGACCAATGGAGTTCAATCGGGTCATTTGTGAGATAGTAACTCAATGTTGATAATTGTGGATTTGTCGCTCAATTTCATGGATTGGTTGAAGTTAAACACTAACACCGTTGGATGCCGGCGGGCTCAGTGATCTAGAGGTGAAGCGTTCACGCGCGAGATCGATAAGTCCTGGGTTCAAAACTCGCAAGGTGGGATCGGGGATGCGCACTGTTGAGGAGTCCCACAATAGAACGAATCAGCCGTCAAGTGCTTCCAGGTATTCTATGGTGGTCAATTATCAACTGACTCATGATCTCAACTATTGAAAAAATGAATTGTATTCATCATTGATTTTAATATAATATTATTTGTGATCTAAATGTGTCTAGGTATTTATCATTTTTTCCTTTTTACACCATCACGGTTTTACCCTTGTGATTTATTGCATGAGAATTTACGAGGACACTCTAAAATGTTCACAAACTCAGAATAAATTACTTATCAGCTGACTATCGACCTTCTCATCGAATCATAAACGAGTGAGATTCATTAACTCTACACGTGGATGAAGCTACATCTATTGACTCTTTGAAGAGAGAGTTGGATCAGCTGAGAAACCATCGTTGTCAGGATTAACACAGGCCATCTACAATTCTGTCCCTTTCAAACTGAAATTGAGACCAAATAAATAATTATTCACACGGTTCATTTCAGTTTCATGACTCGTATGAAATTTCTACTTATCCCTGCACCTTTTATATTGATACAGTTTAAAGAAGAAAGTCGATAAATCCACTTGGTATTGTTTGCTTGAATCTTCCTATTGATGTTTAAGATTGCAATTGATCAGTCTCTTATGGGCATATGTGCATCCTGTTCAGATTGCATCGACATTGCCTTAAGTCACAAACATTGTAAGCAAAGATGGATGGTGAATGTTTGCTTGAATCTTCCCAAGTAAACAATACTAAGTGAATTTAAACTCCATCCCTTTACACAAGAAAATGGATGTAAAAACTCAGTAGTTAAGTGGATAAAGCGATGGAAACGATGGAAGTGAACGGTTCGAGTCTCGGAGTGAACATCCTGGATTCCACTGCTAGCCCCCATCCAACTTTGAGTCAGTAAATTGACCATAAACACACTGCTTATCGTCAGTTATTAAGTAGTAAGTTTTGACTAATATTCTTATGTTATAGATACATAGATTATAGGTATTCAGTAGGAAATAAACACTGGTGTCGAAATAAATACATAAAAACATACCTGTCGGAAGTAAAACACTTTTTATTAATGGTGTTGGATGATCATTGAACTATGTCCAAATTTGACTGAAGTTGGAAATGGACCAGTGGACGTCTACTTAAATGTCTTGATGTTAGCACGGTCGTGAGTGATTACTGGTGAAGATTTCGATACTAGGATGAAAATATGCGTCCTGGTTTTGAATGATACTTCATCTGAGGTCAGTCTGTGACAAATACAGACCACAAAAATCATTAACTCGCTTGTATTATATAAGAAGTGAAAAAGTCGATAAAAAACAAATTACGTATAAGTCAGTAGTTCTTATTTTACCTAGCTATGGAACTTCAACTGTTACGAAACATAATTTGGAAATTATCTCGGTGAAATTCCAATTATCACTGATGATTCGAAATTGCTGGATAACTGGTTTGTCTTAGTGCTGAACATTTTAATAATATTGAAACCCCTACCGGACGAAATAGAAAAGCTTGTGTTTTCATGATGAACACCGTAAATATGAAGTTACCGATTTGATTCACATAACTTTAGTGTAAGGGCATTTGTGGAGACATTAAAATTGTCCTATTTTAAAGCACGAGCTAATCTTACCAAGACCATCGTTAAAATTCTAGTTGCAGTGTATAGTCGATTCGTTCTACTATGGGACGTTCCAGTGAAGTGCACTCACGACCTTACCTGGGCGTCGGATTCACGATTATGGAATCCCTACAGTCTTCACAAATACCTTTATGCTGATATTAACCATGTGCTAACTGAATATTAACTTCGAGGTGCAACTCCTGGGGTTCTGAAGTAAAGTTTTAGCAGTGGTGTTCTATCATGTCTGATATCGCACGGTTATTGACTTCAAACAATTAGTGGGGGTTGTACAACATCGTGAACTGATTAAAGTTAGACAAAAACCACATTGGATGCGGCCATGGTGGTCTAGAAATTAAAAGTCTTCTTTCAAGACTGAAGATTCTGGGTTCCATGTTTTGTGGTAGGGTCGTGGATGCACATTGTTGATGAGTCACACACTAAGATGAAATGGTCATCCAGTGTGGTGTGTCTGCGGAAATAAAGAAATTTTCTTGTTTAGTTATTCGGCTATATGAGATCTGTTCGTAAGGTAGGAGAACAGTCGTATTTTATTTAGTCAGAGTATCAATTAGTTTGCCCTAGACTAAGCCCATGATGTGTTGGATAATAATTAACATTATAAATCTAAATTGTATTGATGTAAAAAAACCCACTTATAAATGATTAAAAGATGATCTGGATAAAGTGAGTAATATTCCAATTTAGATCAATAACCGATCAATGTTAGACCATTAGTGAAAACCTGGAAGCCATGGGTGGACGTTTTGTCTTACTAAGGGATTTATCATCAGTGCGTTATTTAGTGTTAATTATCATTAGTAGCATTATTTAGTAAATGAGTGGATTAGATTATGTAAATATTGAGTTGATAGATTACGTAATATTAAAAAATGGGATTGATATAAAATAAGAGTTAAGTAAACATGAAGAGAATATTTCAGCTATGGAGTAATTTAAAAGGGATGGAAATGTTGAATAAAAGATATTGATTTGAATTAAATTACTCGTGAAAACCAGGTAGTACTAGGTAG